TCTATTCCAAAGCCTGAAAAACAAAACAGGTTTATTCAAAACTGGAGACCTATATCATTACTGATCGCATCCTAAAAAACTTCTGTCTTCAGTTATAGCAGAAAGGGTAAAGAAAGTGTTGCCTTCTTTGATTCGAGAGGACCAAACAGGTTTTATGGCCAATAGGTACATTGGTGATAATATACACCTAATTTATGACAGACACCTTCATACAGAAACTCATATAATGCCAGGAATGCTTTCGTTGGTTGATTTTGACAAAAGCTTTTGACTCCATTTCCTGGTCATTCATTAACAAAACTTTGGCTTTGGTGAAAAAAATGAGGAAATGGGGTTGCAGCTTTTTTATAATGATATTCATTCAAATTTATTAATAAATGGAACTATGTCACCTCTGATTCCTGCCCTGCGTTCAATAGGCAAAACGTTACGGAACATTCGGGACGTTTTGTCTGTTGGACGACCCGTTTCCTCGTAACGCTACGATAAACCGCGAACAGTCTGACGAGGTTGCACGCGAAGTGACCAAGATGGCGGACGATGCATCAGTGTCATCAGTCGGTACATTTTACAAGTGCTCCGTGTGTGGCATCTTCTTTGCTACGATGGAAGCTTTTGTTGAGCATGATTGTGGTGAGTCCTGAAAACTTTGGAAGTACTTATACAATGGCGGTAACTTGATATTACCTATGAACCCAACGAAATCGCGGTTGACACATGTCGCCATTATGGCCAAGTAAAAAAATGTCTTGTTTTTTAGGATTCAGTACTCTACTTTGCAGCATCATTTCACTTATCAATTAGGAGGATGGTCGCATTTTACACGCTCAGTGTTCCAAAAATATGTTCATGTTGCAATATGTTTCAGCTTCAACTACAAGACAGACCACCAGTGGTACTGGGAAAACTGCAACAACACCTACTGAAATCAGTGCTATTGACCAGGGATACTCTACAACAGGGATAGGTCACTCGCTTGCTTTCTTTACCATTTGTACTAATTAACGTGGGTATTGGGGTACACTTACAGAATACCGGATACCTAATTATATACATTCTATTGTGCGCGTGAGGCTCCTATATATAGAAGAAACAGAGCGCGAGCCTGCGAGCGATCCAATAAAAATACGAATTTAAGGTACAAAATAAGGTTAAAATCGAATTCCTCACCTTACTTCCTGTTTAGGAAACCTAAACTGGGGATTTTAACAGCGTTCACTGACGTAAACAGAGTAAAAAGTAATCGTGTGTTGAAATTTTATTCAAATGCATGCTGGGAAAAGGAACTCTACAGTGTGGGAACACTCTGATGGTAAGTGATTTTTGATTGGTAAGGTAAGGTAGGTAAGGCTTTTAAATAAAGGGGGGTACCCCCCTTTACCCCCATTATCTTACCTTTTTTTAGCTTTAATATTGTTTAATATTTAATATTTAATATTGAACGCTGCTTCAACACAGCCTTCATTCATCGCGTGCCGTTGCTAAGGAAACAAAATGGAAGTGCGCAAAAATAAATGCGCAATCAAAATAAAAATGGCGGATAGGTATCCGGTATTCTGTAATCTTGCCTTAACGTGTGCCTCGTCATGCTCCAACGCACACAGTGACTTGGTTCGTTCCCAGCGCAACTTCGGCTGCGTTTAACAGTACTTCAGCCAGTGTATTGTATCAGTCGGAATTTTGCAATGAATGAATTAATTAATTAAGAGCAAGAATTTTTTATATGTGAATGAATGAAAGAACTAATGAATAAAAGAAATAAAGAAAAAGAACAAAAGAAAGAAATACATATGTGAATGAATGAAAGAATAAATGATACACCACGGCCATCCCTCCCCAAACATGTTAAAGAACGCAAAACTGTCGGTAGAACACATGTGTTAACATCAGCTGTCCTTTTTTTAAAAAAAAATCTACTTTGAGACAATTTTTACATTAGTAACTAATTCAGATATCTTATTGCATGTGTAGAATGGCATGGGCATTGGCAGAATGTTAACTGACACTGTCACAGACCCCTCAAAAACAAAGTTTAGAACTATCACAAAGCGTTGTAAACACCTTTCCAGTTTTGTCACATACTAAGATCAACAAGAAAGAAAGAAGTTTTAGAACTATAACACTCAAGCATCACAAGCATCAATGGCGTATCAGAACAGATCGGCGATATGTCATATTCACACACCTCAAATACACACTAACAATTTTTTTTAAATTATAAAACTATCACTATTACTTGCAAACACCTTTCACCTGATGGTATATTCCCCTCATAAAAATTGAAGGTGTATGTGAAAGATGTTTTTGAACAATAACTAGAAACACTCAAACAACGCCCTGTAGTATTTCAATGGCAGATCGGCGATTTGTCATATTTTTCACACACCTAAAATACACACTAACAATTTTTTTTAAATTATAAAACTATCACTATTACTTGCGAACACCTTTCACCTGATGGTATATTCCCCTCATAAAAATTGAAGGTGTATGTGAAAGATGTTTTTGAACAATAACTAGAAACACTCAAACAACGCCCTGTAGTATTTCAATGGCAGATCGGCGATATGTCATATTTTTCACACACCTCAAATACACCCTAACAAATTTTTGTTAGTTATAAAACTATCACTATTACTTGCAAACACCTTTCAACTAAAGGTATGTTTCCCTTCTAAAAATTAAACGAATATGTGAAAGAAGTTTTTAGCGATATAATTTAGTCTTTCTTCGCTGTGTACTGAGAATTGAAGCCAGTGAGCTACAACATGCCGGCTTGAAACTTTACTACAAATCTACTGTACTTATACTGACACTAATAACAATTATTTGACTTAAAATGAAGTGACAGAATAGGTAACTTATCTTCTACATGTAGGTTTTCAGTTGTCACAACAGTCAGCGTATGTAATCAGCTGTTGAAAATAAACCGGGCTCAATCTTAAAAACTACGCTGCCGCCATATTGGCTACACTGGTCACGTGACGAGCCGAGGCATAGCTTAGGAGCTTTCCGAGGAGTGACCACTCCCCCTTATATAGTCTCCCTGTATTGACGAACTCGGGACAGATGACACTGACAACGTGGAGAATGAAGTTCACAGTAAGTGATTCAGAAGGAAAATGCAATAGACATAATAGACTACATACATTGTAGTCAGAGTAAATATTGTTTGCAAATAGATTACGTGTATATTATTTTAAGACGGTTAAAAAGAACAACAAACAGGTTATTTGTCAATACTGCTCGACAGAACGATATCAAGTAAAATATAGTTCCCTATACATGTCGCACAGTATTAATGTAGTACACTTTTTCTTTACAGCTTCTACCCACTGCACATGGGGTACTCTGCAACCATCCTCCTAATTGAAACCTACAGAGATCTTCAATATATTTTCAAATCTTCTGCCTACAAAAAGATTGATGCTTGGAAACGAGTGGCCAAAGAGTTACAAAAACAGAATTATAGTTATACCGCAGATCAGTGTGACAAAAAAATGAGAAGCTTGAAGTACAGGTAATTTTTGAGATGTCATTTGTCTAACTGAATAGATTGTGAACATTGTTGTCATCTTTGCTAAAAGTGATGCATTATGTTAGTGTTCATTTTACAAGATGATAATTCATATAAATGTATTATCGGTAGGTAAATGACACTTCAATTGAAGAGTCACAGAAATTGTTTGTTTGTTTTCTTTAAATCTAACTGGAAAAAATGTTTAGTGTATTCACTTTAGAGTTAAAATGATAACTTTATATTTTGATCAGACTGATAAGGCCAGTGTCTGTTATTAAATGTATTCAGTAAGTGTACGTCTTTATTCAGACACAAGGTAATAGTTGACGGAAACAACAAAACTGGAAGGGGAAAACGGACTTAGGAATTTTTCGATCTTATCGAAGATCTGCAGGCTGGCAACCCATCAGTCCGGCTAACCATAACAGTCTCTTCACTTGAAGGTATGTGCAAATGTTTCTCTGAAAGACAAATTAAGAAGAATGTCTACAGCCACTATGGGGTAACGGAATTCGTCACAGGTTCATTATAATTTGCATGCCACAAATATAATGCTAATAAATATGATGGAACAAAATTTAATGGATTGAAAGAATAAACATATCTTCATTATATTTACTATTGTTGTTCACATCAGGTGTATAGTGTAGAAAACGTCTTGTTTGTGTATAATTTTGCAGGTGAAAAGACCCAAGAAACAACTTGTAGTGCTCCTTCAGCTTCAGAATCTCCCTCCACATCCTTAGCATCTACATCGGCTGAGACACCATCTAAGGTTGGTCGGAAGCGACAAGCACCAGAATGGTTTAAGCAGTTTACAGAGGAAAACAAAAAACAGTTGTCCTAGTTGGTCATGCAACAAGCAACAGCAAATGAAGTAGCGAAAGAAAGAAATGAAATTCTGAAGGCTATCTTAAACAAAAAGTAGAGGAGTATGTCTCTATCATGTCTATTTTCTGGTTCCTGATGGACATTTTTTAGCCATACCTACTCAAAGGCTAAGGGTCATCCAAGCAGTAGTTATCTTTGCAAGAACTTTAAACATTTGCAGCTTCCAGTTTTTGGTTTTATTTTGATCCTTGTGAATACCAATGTTCATGCTTTACCTGAGACTTATCGTTTTTTGATGTTTGAGTAATATATTTTCAGCAAACCATAACAGTGACCTTTGTTACAATTTAGCAAGCCATGCTGTGGACATTAGTTAACCAGTGGATTTTCCAGTCTGAGGACATGTTGAAAACCAAAGTGTTTATTTATTTTGTTCATTTATTTTGTTTAACAGATCATGTAATCGCTGTTGTCAAGTTGGGCCAAGTTGATGTAAAGAATGAACAAAAAGTGCCAAACTTTTATTTTATTGTTTTATTTATTTTAATAAATAATTTAAAAAGCAGATTGTTATCAGTTTGTCTTTATTATTACATTGAGGCATGACAGTGTCACCATGAGTTAAAGGTCTTGAAAAAACAGATTAAATCTACAGGAGAAGGGCAATGTCATTGCTCTTTGCAACAGCATCAGCTGGCAACCCCTCGAGTAGTGCCTCTTCATCGATCAACTCATCTGCCTGGTGATTGTCATAACCAATAATGTCATCATGAAACATTTCCCTCATGAGAATAAAATTATGCAACACACATGCTGCTACAATGAAGTCGCACATTTCCTCTGTTAGCTGCATGTCAAGATACTTCAGTCTCCGAAATCTACATTTCAGGAGTCCTATAGCTCTTTCAACATCCACCCTTGTTGATGCATGGCATTTGTTAAACTTCTTTTCTGCAAGGGATAAATGTCCATTGTCCTTGAATGGAACCATGATGTACGGAGCAAGTGGGTAGGCTGAATCACCAATAAGATGGAAGTCGGGTGGCAAATATCCTTGCTCAAGTTTGCGTCTTAATGGGCTGTTCTTGAAAACTCTGCAGTCATGAACCGACCCCGGCCAGCCTACATAAATGTCGGTGAACTGCAGTTTGGCGTCGCAAACGACCTGTAACTGCATGCTCGAGTAACCCTTCCTGTTGATGAATGCATCTCTATTACAGGATGTACCAGAGATTGGAATATGAGTACCGTCAATGGCACCAATAACTTTAGGGAATCCACACCGTTTGGAAAATCCTTCAGCCACAGCCCCTAGTTCATTGAGAGTTGGCAACTTTATATATTCCTTGACTGTTGAAGAAATTGCTCCACAGACACTGAGAGCAATAACATGCAGGGATCCTTTGCTCAAACCAAACCTATCGGCAATACAACGATAGGATTCCTGATTGGCAAGTAGTCACAAAGTTGACAGTAGCTTTCGTTCTGCAGTCAGTATTCTCTCGGGTAACAGTGGTGCAATCCGTTCACAAAGGTCCTACAACAAGAAACAGTACTCATACTACTGGCTCAGTAGACTCTTTAACCCTTTCCATGCTGGCTAAATTATTATTCTATGGGATCTGCCAGTAATATTACCCTACCAGTATGGAAATAGTTAAGCTTCAACTAGTAAGATTTGTTAACCCAATTTAATGAAGTTGGTTTCCTCTTGTCCAAATAGTATTTGGCATGTTCTAAATATACTCCAGTCTGGAGGATGCATATATTAAACTAAATGTGTTTTTTTATGATGATGATGATGAATTCTTTTGTCCGAATAAAATTAGTGTCACTAGTACCTGAAACGTCGATCTTTTCATCCTGAAATGTGATCTGAAATCGAAGTCCCTGTATTCTGAATTACTGTTTCAACGTAGCCCTTCACACTTGCTGTTTGCTCTTGAGTTGTCAAACACATACCCAGCGTTATAGTTGATGTTAAGGATGATATCCTTGCAATGTTTACAGCAGGTAGCAGGCAGGTTCCCTCTGCTAATTCACTGAGAACTACACGTTCTTCTAAAGATAACGCCATTTTGCAAAACGTTTGCACAAAACTCTGCGTTCATCAGGTGAACAGAATGTTCTTACAGAATGTCGCAAAACGTTTTAGGCTATTGAACACAAGGCTGTTGAGTTCTGTGAAGAGTTTCTAAAAAAATGGAACTTGATTTACCAAGTGATCCTGTTGCCCCTAGTGAAAATTCGGTTTTAAAGGAACTTGCATCTGTTAAAAAGGGTTCAAAAAGTTTTACTTTATATTCCTTTCTTCCAAAAGTTTCATTAAATCACAGCTTAAATGGCAAAACATTTGACTGGCCAAACATTTATCTTAAACCTTTCAAGGCTCCACAAGACATAAAATTACGATGATTTCAATATAGACTGCAGCACAGAATATTTAAAATTGGTAAGGCCGTGAGTCCTCTGTGCAATTTCTGTAATTCTGAACAAGAACGTAGTTTGCATCTTTTTGGGGAGTGTCATGAAGTGAAGGCTTTTTGGAATAAGTTACTTCTTTGGATAACTAATAGCTGTGACCATATTTATAACATGAGTTTAAGTGACCCGCGCCGTGATGTTGCTGGAATATTGCTCAAAGCGGCGTAAAACCAAACTCAGTCAGTCTGTCAGTTTAAGTGAAGAACTCTTTTTATTTGGTATAAAAGAAAATGTAATAACTGATAGGGTTTTTGACTTGATTTTTTTTTTTTTTTTTTTTTAGAAAGTTTTTTATTTATAAATGTAAATTAAAAGGTAAACCTATCTGTCAAGAATTTCCATTATGAATTAAAAGATGCATATACAATAGAAAAACAAATCTTTACTGATAATGTGAACAAAATAAATTTTATTCGCAGTAGATGTCCTACCACTCATTGTTTCAAGACTCCAGTTAACTGATTTCAGAATACTGAATCGTCTTTTCTTTCTAACTATGCAGCTATGTCCATCCTTTATAATGTTATATTTTGATGGTACCATATTTCTTGGTCAAGTGTGAATGAAAGTTGTGAAAAAATTCTATCTTAGCTTTGCTTGATATGCACCTGTGTATTCACACCAGCAGCTTATCACTATTCATGTGGATCTGTTGTATTGTTTTTTTATACTGTGTGTTCTTGTGTGTGACAGTTTGATCTTGTTAAAACTCTGAATCCTTCATCATGTTGTTCTTTTATTCTCCGAGAGGGCAGGGAATTCCCTGGTTCCTTTGTCCCTACCTGTAACAGGAATTCAGTAATAAAAAAAAAATTACAATTACAACAAAAAAATCTTCTCAGTTGCTACAATCACTCTCTGATTCTTGTGGAGTTGATGATAACATTGATGTGTTAACTACTTTCCTATCACGAATATAGGATAAGTATGCTCCTCTGAAGTCTAGTTCTGTTGTCATTCGTCCTTGTTCTGTTGTCATATATTCCTTTTTAAACAATCCCTTGAAGCGGGATACAAATTGTACTCTAGCCAAATGATTTGCCGGGGGTTTTCCTCGCCAAGATATGGGATATACGCCAAGAATTGAGAAATTAAACCAGACGTACCTGTAAGTTGAAGTTTGATAGAGATTCTCCGAGGCATTAGGGAACAAGTGAGCTCACATGAGATTGCGGGTGAGGAATCGGCTTCAGTCTTTAAAGTACTTTGCTCTGTAGAACTGAACAAACTATAAACCACAGAGTATATACCGGGAGGGTGGAAGTGGCATGTGAGCTCACTTGTTCCCTGATGCCTGGGAGAATCTCGATCAAACTTCAACTTACAGGTAAGTCTCGTTTAATTTCTCAATTCTCCTTCGGCATCAGGTCACGTGACGTCCCATGAGAATTCAAAGCAGTTCTTCAGAGCAAGGAAATACATACACAAGGATTAATGGCTTTAATTAAACAAATTGACTCAGTAATACAAGGGATGTAATCAGTATTGTTTCCATCAATAAGAATCAAAATAGAGAAAACAGACACATCAATGCAATCATGTCATGAAATATGTAACTTTTAGGGAATTAATATCAGGAATTGTGTTCAACATTGGGAACAAATGTCACTCAGTTGAGGCAAGTACTGCTTCACCAAAAGACATCTGAGTGTCCACAGGCTTGGTGTAAAACTTGGCGAACACACCCGCAGAAGACCAGCCAGCTGCACTCATTAGTCTGCATAGACAAACCCGCACTGTGAGCTGCACTGGTAGAAGCAGCCCGTGTGCTGTGTCCTGTAAACATATCAGTGTGTATTCCAGCTGCACTCCGTAAAAGCTTCAGCCATCTGGAGATAGTGTCTCTGGACACTGCTCTGTAAGGGGCAATGAAACTAACAAGCAACTGAGCATCCTGCCTTAGGGTCTCTGTTCTTGAAATATATTCATCCAAACAGCGAACCCCACACAGAGGTTCCTTCTCAAACTGGCAGATCTCTACAGGTTTCATATGAACACCTGGTCTAGACTGTTTGACTAAACTAGGGATAACAAACACAATTTTGTCTCTGGATCTCTTCACGTTATCCAGGCTGAGTAACTGTAGAGACTGTACCCTCTGACCGCTAACTAGGGCTAATAGCATAGTAAGTTTAAACGTGAGGGCCTTTAGGGACAACTGATCATTGCTACCTAAGCTAACTAAATAATCTAACACTACACCAACATCTCAAGTATGTTGATATCTTGGTAAAGCTGGCCTAAGATTAAAAATGCCCTTCAAAAATCTCTTTACTAAGGGATGCTGTCCTATAGGTAAGCCTGATGCAAATTGTAATATGGCAGACAAAGAACTGCGAGCCGTGTTAATGGCACTATATCCAGAACCAGAGTCATACAGCTTTCTAAGAAAATCTAACACTGTATTAACACTAGGTACAAAGGGGTCTCTACCCTCCCTTCCACAGAAATCACGATACTTGACTAGGTATGTTCTGTACTGTTTCTGGGTGCTCCCCCTCCATGAATTCATGACAATGGATATGGTGTCATCTGACAGTCCCTGAGTCTGTAGACACTGCCTGACAAATGGCATTCTATTAGCTGAAGTTTCCTGTGTAGAGGGTGAACTGACAACTCCGTGAATGGAAGCACTAGTGTACCCCTCCCCCTCGGCAGTGGACGGGGTGGAGACAGCATCGCTGGGTACCAGTTCTCCGTTGGCCACCTTGGTAGGATCACCAAGTCCTCCGCCCGGTCTGATCTGATTTTCTCCATGACTCTGTCCAGTAGGCTGAACGGTGGGAATGCATAGAATTTATATTCTGTCAAACTATACATCAAAGCACCTGACTGTTCAAACGAGAAGCGAACAAATCAAACGTAGGCACAAAAAAAGTTACTGGTAATTGATTGCACAATTTCACGCTTTAACTTCCATTCATTCAGTGGAGTCCTCGAACACTCTAACTCTCTTTATCAGCTACACAATTCTGGGTACCTGGAAGGTGGACTGCTGACAACCACATACCATAATGTTGCGCTAACAGTCAAATATCACGGGCCATACTGTTACACAGTTCAGATCTGGAGCCTCCCATATGATTAATGTAGGAGACAGCAGTAGCATTGTCAATGTGAAGGCGTACATGACACCCTGATAAATTGTCTACAAAAAACTTCAGGCCGAGGAGCTGACGTCAAGCCAAAGGGAAGACATTAATATTGATATGTTGTACCTCTCCAAATCAAACGCAAATATTTTCTATCCTCCTATGCAATACTGACAGCATAATAGGCTTCTTTTAAGTCAATAGAGCCCATAAAACAGCCCGGAGAAATGAGACAAAGAGCAGATATAAGGTGTTCCATCTTAAAATGGAGTTTTTCAAAACAGTAGTTCAGTTTTTTCAAATTCAGGATGAGTCTATAAGTGCCATCTGATTTTGGCACTAGGAACACGGTGCTGACATAACCCTCCTGAGTAGAAGGAACTGCTTCTATGATACCTTTGTCTAGCATGGTCTTGACCTCTTTATCCAAATATGCACCTCGTGTAGCATTTAGCTTGGATTCTCGGACAGAATTCAGGCATGGTAGATCTACAAAATCAATCTTACATCCTCTCACAATCTGGAGAATGTTTTCATCAAATGTCAATCGTTCCCATTCATCAATGAATTCTTTTAGCCTACGAGCAATAGGAAAAACAGTGTCACTAACCTGTCCTACTCCTGAAAACGTCGCTTCATGGTGATGGGAACTAGTCCACGGCAGAGAGATTCCTGTATTTTCTGGGGGTGCCAGTCAAATCGCCCCAGCGACAAAACGCCCCAGCAAATTTGGTCAAATGCCCCAGATTGTTAGTCAAATCGCCCTAGGTTTGGTCAAATCGCCCCAGGAGGTAGTCAAAATGCCCCATTTGATTTAAAATGGTTTAATATACGCCATAAATGCATACTTTTTGTCGACTTCCATATATATTCTTCACATACTATTATGTAGTAATATTTCTGATAAAATTTCTATTAATAAATTGATAAAAGCAAAAGTAATATTCATGTATAGACAACAATGTAAAACCAATTTTTTGCATGTTATCAAGGTTATCAAAGGTTTGTATAAAATGTTTATTGGCCGTAAATGCACAGTTTTTGTCAGCATGTATGGTATAATACTGAGCTAAACATTTGATAGCTTTTTTCAATTACTGTTGTCAAAACGTGGGGCCGTTAATGCATAGGTTTTGTCAACAAGTATGGTATAATACTTATGAAAACAACTTAAAGCTTTTGTTAATTACGCTTGTCAAAAAGTGAGGCCGTAAATACATAGGTTTGGTCAACAAGTATGGTATAATACTTATCAAAACAATTTAGAGCTTTGTTTATTAGTCTTGTCAAAAAGTGTGGATAAAAACAGGCTATCAAAACATGTTCACTAATTGACATTCAATGCTGTGTTTAGTTAAAGGAAATGTTGAGGCTCTGCATTGTATAAATTGATTTTGGACTAAGGGTAAGCCATTCACTTCTTCCAACTGACAAGATGACCACCAACTGCAGGAAATGTTTTTGGTAGTAAGTGAGGGCCAAGGGGCAATCTCGTGTGACAAACGTGAAGGCTGGACACACAGACTCTGTGGAACTAGAATGTCCAAGAATAAGTATGAGGAAGCGGAGAGGACAGGTTCCCCTATACCCTTTACATGCACCATCTGTAAAGAGACACTGAGGGAAAGCAGTCCCATTGACCACTCATTTCATGGACGTGTGGAAAGCATGATGACAGATATAGTGGAGACGGTTACTTTTGATGTCAATCTATCTGCAATCGACAGTGTCCCCGATGAAGATACCCTTCACAGTGGAGACACGCAAAACCTCTCGGACATAATTGAAGGAGACATTCAAGAAAGGTAAAAACATTCAATATCTATTACTTCATTTACCTGTGGTACATCACTAACTATGAAATAGTTGCAACAGTCTAGTAACAAACCACTAAATATTTCTTTGTATGTAAAGGTCAGTGGCAGAAAACAGCATCACTTCTGACGTAGATGACATCCCCGAAGATGCAAGAAAACACATGTACTGTCCTAGAAACAGGCACGCAGAAGAGCAAGAGAAGACTGATTGATAGCTATGGGTATATCTATGTTGGAAAGGTTTGTATGTTTGTCAGCTTGGTCATCTCTTTTATGTAAATATAGTTTTGTTAATTGTATGTTGTATATTAGCCAGTGGCATTCCTGCATTATTACAGTGACTTTATTGTTTTTCCAGAGAGAGAACACCAAGCAGACTAACTGGAGATGTAGTGTCCGCAATAAGAAGAACAGCTGTCCTGCTACTGCCACTCAGAAGGGAACAAGCTTCACACCCAGTGACAAGCCTCACAACCATACAAGCATCCTGGCAAGCTACAAGCATCACAAGTAAGGGTCCAGGTAAGCCCCTTAAGCCTAAACAGCTTAATTGTTCATTTAATTAATTAATTACCATCAAGAGCTACTGCTCGTTAATCCCAATGACCAGGAGGCTGTCTGAACACAATCCAATTTGCCTTTATTAACCTTGTTATAAAGGCTATTTTATTTGATCAATATATATAAACAAATTTTTCATAATGATAAATTTCAATTTATCAGATAAAAGAGGACGCCACAAATGAGTTACTCAAGTCAGCTGCGACTATTGTGGAGGATGCGGTTACAACAATAGTGGAGCCAGATGCTCCAAGTGGAGCTAGAGAGAACATGGATCAGCTGACAAGGATTGCTAATAGAGCGCGGGAAAGGAATAGACCCAAGGATCCACAGGATTTGGACTTTGAGGTAATCTAACCGTCCTTACTGAAAACTTCCATAAAGTTAGTTTTATATTGTCCTAACTGAATACAACTCAAATGATATCCTATATGCTGAACATAAATGAATATGAATATTTGTAAAATTATATTTTTAGATTTCCACCACATTTATCCCTGTGGGCTCCTTGAAAGCAGACCTGACAAACAAGAGCCTAAGGCACCTTATCCTGGCCACAGACCGTCAGCTGTTACAACTGAGTAAGTCCAAACAATGGTTCTTGGATGGAACCTTCAAGGTGGTTAAACGGCCGTTTTACCAACTCCTCTCAGTGCATTCCTTCGTGCGGTCAAAGCAGGATGTGAAAATGATGCCGTTAGTTTTTGTAATAATGTCCTCACGAACAAAATCTGACTACGTCAAAGTTTTCAATAAACTGCTTGACCTGCTGCCAGTAGCACCATCTGTGGAGTCTATTGTCATTGATTTTGAGGCTGCTGCATGGGGAGCCCTGAAAACGGTGATGCCAGATGTGAGACTCCGTGGGTGTCTGTTCCACTACACCCAGGCAGTGTGGAGGAGGGTCCAAGAAATAGGACTGACGATATGTGTATTGTTATTTACTTATCACACCAGTAAAATGTTGCATATTTGTATGATAATTTGTAATCTTTATTAATATATGTGAAATCTTAACATATGAAGGTTTCTTGTTACAGGTGGCATACAGAGAAAAGAATCAAGTTTTTCGATTTATTCAGAAACTGATGGCCTTGCCCTTCATCCCTGCTTTAGAGATCCGTCAGACGTTTGAAGAGCTGACTGAGACCGTCACCCCTCGCAACAAGCTTTGTCAGCTTGTGGGTTACATGAAGACCCAATGGATCTACAAGAGAACATGTCCCCCTTCAAGCCTATCTTGCTTCCGACAGACAACAAGAACAAACAATCACATCGAAGGTAAATATCTTTTAAACATTATTTCTTTCAGCTATTTAAGTTATGTTTAATTTATAAATATTTACGAATTTAATGTGAGTTAATTATGTTGAGCATGACAACATTTCTTTTAAAATTTCCCTTCATGTTTTCAGGTTGACACCGGCGCCTAAATGCAAAAGTCAGGGAGCAACAGCTGGGACTATACCGACTTATCAAAGCCCTACATCGGGAGGCGTCCCTGCTCCCAATCAAGATCCTCCTGCTGAAGGAGAGCAAATTGAGGGGAAGAACCAGGGACCGATCAACCACAGCCCAGAAGGAGATCTTTCCTCTGTGGGCAGAGTTCAAGGAGGACCAAATCACAGTCCAGCAGCTCTTGTCAAAAGTTAGCCGCATTCATGGACCAGCCCGTCATACAGACGAAAGTTAAAAAGAAAAGAAAGACATATGATTTCCTGTAGGAGGAACTTCTGTATGAGGATTATAATATCCCAGTGGACAAATCTCTAGATTGTTTCTTATAAGTATTATACCAAACTTGTTATGATTACACAATGCCATTTGTTGACAAAAACTATGCATTTTCAGCATTTACAATAAACATATTATACAAACCTTTTATTTTATTCTTATAATTCATTACCAAATCATTGGTATTAAAGTGTTGTCTATACATGAATATTACTAACAATATAACACATTATATTATGTGAAGAATATAATATGGAAGTCGACAAAAACTATGCATTTATGGCGTATATTAAACCATTATAAATAAATTGGGGCATTTGACTACCCCTGGGGCGATTTGACCAAAGATCTGGGGCGATTTGACCAATTTTGCTGGGGCGTTTTGTCGCTGGGGCGATTTGACTGGCACCCTTTTTCTGGGATTTTACATCCCTTGGATTTGCTGTCTGTGTGCATATTCTGCCAAATTCCAGTGGGTTTACCCTATGTGGCTTTAATTTTGTCATGTTTGATGGTAGGTTATATTTCTCGCCGAGATCCTGTCTTTGTTTTTCCTCAAGCCTTGTTGTCATGAGGCCGTCAATAAGTTCAGCAACCGCTTTGTCGACAGGGGGGCTAATCTTTTCAGTTGTCCTGAACTGCTCGGCTGGATTTTGAATGGCAGAAGGAGTTTCGACGCTCTCGGATGTTGATGGCATGGCGGCGGTCATGACAGCACCAGGGGAGGTAACTCCTCTTCCGTTCTCTGCATCAGCCTGTGTCCCGTGACACGACTGGCCACCGCTTGCAGCCGATGGGGTATGCAAATTGGGTACGTGGTCCCTGGGCGATCTATTAATAGCTAAATTGTCCCCTGTTTCTGTGTCCATCCCATCATCACCTTCCTCAAACCACTGACTTTGCATAAAGTCAACCTTCAAAACTACAGCACTAAAGGTTGCTTGCATAGATTTTAGCAAGTTCATTTGTTCATCACTCGATGCACTCTCGTTGTCATCCTTGAAGCACTTCAAGTACTGCAAGTACTTCCAAGGATGACACCGAGAGTGCATCGAGTGTGCACAATGTGGCTGTCCAGTGCAGGGCTTGGCCGAGTTTCAATTTCTTCACATTCCGTTTCGTCAGTAGACAGTTTATATGAGCTTTGCTGCAATCCTTGGATTTGCTAGCATCATCAGTGGTAGATTTCCAGGCAACAATTCGGAATGTAACTTTTCAAGCAAATTGCTGGTCCTGGCGCCGTCGTTGCCCGATGTCGCCATTTTAGGAATTAGACAGGACACAGTCAAAGTTCAAACGGTTTCCCCAGGTAGAAAGTTCAGACAGGGTATCGAGTACACCAAAGTCAAGTTCGGACTTACATTCAACAGGTTTGGAAATCCAAACAGTTTACACAGTCTAATCCAAGAAAAACACAGTAAAATCCAATTTAAAGTCCTGAGCGATGATGAAAGCTAGGCCTGACCTCGCCGATGCCGGAAGCGCACTGAGCCGATTCCTCAAGGGCAATCTCATGGGAGGTCACGTGACCTGATGCCGAAGGAGAACTTGACATTAGACGTACTCTGCAGATCAGGTTTTCGACGAGTAATGTTTCAGGAGTACATATTTGTCTGAACTCTCCTTAACCTATCCGGAAGAAATAAGACAGATTATATCCAAAGCTAAAGCAACTTCTAGCCTGGAAGTCATACCAACATGGCCATTTAAAGCAAGCTTGGCTTCTCTTAGTCTGTCTCACAGTCCCTGAACCACATTAATTTCCCTACTGCCAAGCCCTCTCTGCAGTGCTAAAGCCTTAAATAAAGCAAGTCTAGATTTCCTCAGGTTCAGGGTCTGTTAACATCTGCATGAAAACTAACTCACTTTGGGGGTCGGATTACAAAGTAAACATATCTAACTACCATGGCTGGCCAGACCAACATCCTCACCAGTGGTCTGGAATCTTGCCTCACATTTTCATCTGTCAACTCTTAATTAACAAGCACATTGGGTGACATGAAGCTATAGTGGAGGCCTTGTGTACAGTTTCTGGTCTTGAAGAGACAAATCAAGCAAAATCTTGGGGAAAGGTTCCTCCTGAATGTAATGTTGTAAAAAGTATTGTTTCATTGTCTGACTTGGGTCCCCACATAGTAGCCCAATTGTAAATGCGGTTAAGGATTTCATTGTAATTAAAACAAGGGTTATTTTTCTTATTCCTGATATAAGATTATTGTGTGAAAGGAAAGAGTTCCTTCCGTTCCCCCAACTCTAAACCAAACTCTAAACCTAACCCTAAACCTAGCCCTAACTTAAATTTTGGACTTTCAATCATTTTGTGTGTTCTCTAGTAATTGTTGCGTTAAGTTTCGTTTATAATTCTAGAATATTTATACATATTATTTGGGATGGGGGAACGGGGGGAACTCTTACCGTGTGAAACTCTGGTGTGTTTTGAGTATCTCTTTTTATCTAATTGCTCAACAGTAAAACATATGGCAGGGACCTAGCACTCATGAAGAGTGAGTGAGTGAGTGAGTTTGGGTTTACACCGCATTCAGTATATTCCATATATGGCGGCGGTCTGTAAATAAGTCGAGTCTGGACCAGACAATCCAGTGGTCAACAGCATGAGCATCTACGCAATTGGGATACGATGACATGTGTCAACCAAGTCAGCAAGCCTGACCACCCGACCCGTTAGTCGCCTTCTCACGAAGAACCAAATTCAAAAGGCACAGCATCTCGGAATTAAATCTGTTTACCTTCGTGATGTGATTGAGGCATGCAAGGTGAAATCTAGTGAAGATGATCTTGTATCTAGAAATACCCAGAACATCTTCAAGCGTAAGACAGACGCTGGCCTTTTCACTTCCATTGAACAGTTTGTTTAAAAAAAGTTGGTTATCTATATCCTCTTCGCATATTATACAAATGGAAACTTTTGAATTTGGAGATAAATTCAAATTCATAAATAATTTTGTTGGTGTTACACACAGATCTTGCACCTTGGTCATCTAGTGTCCAAGTGACATTGTGGGCTGCAAGTTTCCCAACAGTAAAATGTTAGGCAGTAGGGGCACTTGACCGGCCCACATGAGGTGATGACAGCATGGAGATAGGACAGGGCTTAACAGGAGGGCCAATAAATATGCCTTTCACTTATAGCGTTATCTGATGGTTGTAAGATGTGACTTCTAATTGGTAACGACCCCAGCACGTGTAGCCCCAATGCAGATGTTCTTAGTCTCTGAATCTCTGGTCTCCCTAGGGCTCCTTTTCAATATAAATGGGCTTTGTTACTATCAAAATTATATATATTCAGAGACTAAGCCTTAGTCTAGGCTTCTCTCATCAGTCCATTATCCAATTGAGGGATGCCGCGGCCAATTAAAATTGAGTTAAAAAACTACCGGCCAGTATCTAATCTGTCTTTCATTTCAAAATGTTTGGAGAAAATTGTTTCACGAAGGCTTGAAGAACACCTTCTCAATAACAACCTGCTTGACCCCTTCCAGAGTGCTTACAAATCAAAACATAGCACAGACACTGTACTTGTTCGTATCCATAACGATGTCATGAGGGCAATGGACCAGCAGAATGTAACCCTGCTGGTCCTTCTTGATTTATCATCAGCCTTCGACACCCTAGACCACACGATACTGTTTTCTCGATTGGAGGAAAGACTGGGTGTTACAGGAAAGGCTCTTTCTTGGATCAAGTCCTATCTGTCGGCCAGAACTCAGGTTGCCAAGATTGGCGATGTTACCTCACTTCCGACAACAGTTGACGTTAGTGTTCTGCAAGGTTCAGTTCTGGGATTTCTGGTGGAAGCCGCGGTGGCTGAACGGGTTAGGCGGCTGACTTTGTGTGCTGGCGATTAGGTGCCTCACTCTGAGGGTGTGGGTTCGAATCCCGGATGGGACTCAACCCAACAAAAGTACTAGAATTTGTACTTTACTAAGAAAGTGTAATCCCAAATATAACATCATTTACATTTGACCACTTTCTAAATGGCATTGTGTATTCATATTCCAAAGAAGTTTAAACGTATCATTTTCCATGAAGCCCTGGACATGTTCAGGATCGAGTCATGGATAGACCTCGTAGTCAAAGCCACAGGCATGTCCAAAAAGATAGCAGAAGCATCGACCCGTGCCATCATGTCTTTTAAGATATGCTGTTTGTGATATGACAGTCTCTGTAAATTCATTACACAGACGACTTTTCATATTAATATTTTCTTTAAGGATCACATTTCGTTTAGAATCACAAAAGATTTAAGATTGCGAGTACATCTCAGTTGATTACAGCAGCAGCTCATTAAAGACTTGAGTAAGTCAAGTAGTCGCTCAGGGAGGTCAATACAATTAAGAGACTTCAGAATTCACTCGCGAGGGACAGAATCAAATTCTTTTTATCTGAACCTGCTAACAGTCCCGCCTTCTCGGACAAAACGATTTGGAGACAGGAGTTTCCGTAGAGCAGGCGCTGATCTGTGGAATGGGCTACCCCTGGCTGTCAGATAAATCAAGAAACTCAGCAGCTTCCGTTCCACCCTGAAAACCGTCAGGAGCATATGGCTAAGCGCACATAAGCAGGGATATCTCTGGATAAGATGAGCTATATAATTGTCCAATCTATTACCATTATATTAATATTATATTTTATAGTCAATCCAGCACATGATGAGGTTACGGTGATATGTTTTAGCCTCTTCCAAAATCATTTTCTGTACAAGAAGTTTATCCTTGCACTCCCAACATCGATCCCTTCCTTGCTCCCTTCTGCTCTCTATAATTATATCATTGGAAGAGAAGTAGGATGACACAAGATTTGTCAAACACCCTGTGAAGATTTTATATTGTGTATTTAAACACGTTATAGGGCGGAAGTTTTGGGGATCAGTCAAGACTACTTTCTTAGGAAGAAGTATTGTGCGACCTTTGCAGAACCATGAAGGAACATCACCTGTGTCCACAAGAGAACTTAAAAAGTACTGTAATGGTGTTTGGACACAGGAAAACAGTTTCCAGTACCGGTTCCCAAGAGAATTGAAACAGTGAAGTAACGGGAACAGTTTCCAGTACCGGTTTCCAATGCCATCAGGCCCTGGAGCTGTATTTGATTTGCATATTTTGATGACACTTTTGATATGTAACAGATAAGCGACCCAGTCCTTTTCTCGTGCTTTGCATGATCATACTCACGGACCCATGGTGCCTCAAGGTTACAGTCGCTGCGTACAGACCACAACTGTTTCCAAAACCTTTCATTGGCATCCATTATTATCGTTATTATCATTAAGTAATGCTGGGGTTGGCAATCGATATAGATCTGCTATGGATAAATGTAATCGTAACTTTGAGCAAAAGTCCTAAATATGTATGTTGTGTGAGAAAATTAAAACTTGTTCTGTCACAAAGGTTAATAATACGATATTATTGCTAACACATTCTTTTTCATATTGATAATCATTAATTATTTATTTTTCCGATTATCCATCATTTTAGCCAGCCTTAAGTAATACTGATATAAAAATAAACATTCTCCGTTTGTGTTGTTAGAGCTGTGTACTGACCTCTGACCATATGAACTGTCAAAATCTGTAAGACCGTCGGAAAACATTCGTGCAGCTTTGGCGAAACTGATACGACTAATCACTGGTGAGATTGTCACAAAGGCTGTTTCGGTCATTGTTTGATAAAAGACATGTACTGCACATGCGCGTAGCATGTGAGCGAGCCAACCAATCAACTCGGTGCTCACGGTCTCGTTGTATTTAGAAATCACATATATTTGTTCATTTCTTTCGTGGTTGTTTTTGCTTTATTCGTTTGTTTCTTTCTTTCTTGTTTAACGCCACACTCAGTAATATTCAAGCTACATGGCGGCGGTCTGTAAACAATCAAGTCTGCGCCGGATAAGCCAGTGATCAACATCATGAGCATTGTCGTTGCTATTGGGACACGATGACATGTGGCAACCTGGTCAGCGAGCCTGACCATCGATCCAGTTTGTCGTCCCTTCATGCTGAAGACCAATTCTAACTCGGATCTTCGATATTCAGTACTATCCCAGTTGTACACGCAGGAAAGGCCCTGACGTAGTAAACTTTCATAACGGACATTAAACGTTTGCTGAGTTCAGAATCAGTACTCAACCGACTGAATTGTGTCATGCCTAGCCCCAGTGCCACCAGCACTAGAATTCTAATTGTGGGTTCAGTTTCCAGTTGCCAATGAGGACAGACTACAACACTTCTCAATGAACTGGTCCTATGCTACCATCATCAATATTGTAGCCATACGATGGCGGTCTGAAAATAAGTGAGTCTGCGCCAGACAAGCAAGTGATCAGCAGCAGCGATCTTCACAACTGGGACACGATGAATCCATCGACCACGTCAGCGAACCTGTAAGACAGGCATGCAGTGCTGAAGATCAGTTCTCACCTGTAAATAAACAACCTTGACAGAAATAGAGAGATAACGCTCCATGTAATAGGTCATTCTTTCTTTATCAAAATGTTTTGAGTCATTTCTTAAAAAATTAGACGACAACTGGAAACACCACCTGCAGTTTTCCATTAACTGCCACTGTTCAGAGAAACACAAGCCAGTCCAAGAAGCAGCCATGTGGATCATCTGCCTACTGATCCCGGCTGTTTGGGGAGGGACAGAACTTCTGAAGAACGCTGACTTCGAGAACCCACACTTCAGCAGCACCGACTGGTACGCCATGGCCGGCACCATCTCAGCGACATCCGACGCCTACCACGGCCATACGGCGGCTAAAATCTCAAAAAGGTATTTTTATACACATTTTTGATAATATACTAAACATTTGCTTGATGTCACCAGCTTAAAAGGTAATATGTCCAACTGAGTGCATGTTTTGAAATAGCTGTATCATTTATGATACGCTCAAAGGCAAGCGTTATTGTGATTGGCTTGAAGTAAGACATGGGAATAAACAACTGATATTTTATGATGAGACCTCGCAAGAAAATCATTCAACAATAGGATTGTCGATGGCACGTTTAAACTTTTCTGGTGGACACATGCTAATGAGAGAACAGTGAGAGAACAGTCAAAATGAAATTCACAGTCAATGTGTATGTCCACCATGAGCATTGATACATGTTTGACACCTGCGCCTCATAGATACCAATCAAACGTCGCAAGAAGTCTTGTGGAATGGCATTCCATATCTGTGGAAGCACCTGGCGGAGTTCCTCAAACGTGACTGGGGGATTTGGCCAACGTCTCAATCACCTCTCCATTTCGTCCCAGATCTGGGTTCGGTCATCAGCGCGGTGCAAGAGAAATCTGGACTCGTCAATGAAGAGAATATGTATGTCTCCACCTCAGATGTTGCCTGCACCACTGATCGTAGGCGTTGGTTTATAACGTAATGTCAACAGGACGTCTAGCACGTATCCCGTGTGCTGCCAGACGCCAGCGAATGGTCCTTGGCGATATCCCGTTGACACCAGGGACTGTTCGGGCTGTCAGTGTGGCTGGTTGGAATCTTTGGCGCAGATGGATGGTTCGATCGTTGCATTGACAATCGTTGACAATCAAGTGATCAACAGCGTGAGCATCGATCTGCGCAATTGGGAACCGATGGTACGTGGTCAACCAAGTCAGCGAGCCTGACCACCCGATCCCGTTAGTCGCCTCTTACGACAAACATGGGTTACTGAAGATCAGTATTCTAACCCGGACCTTCACGGGTCACTTCTTGAAAGCACGTAAACGCATGCAAAAGAAAACCTACCGAGAGGGCCCTGTCTGGTTTATATATGAAGTGTACTATAAAGAATATTAAAACGTGTTAAAAAAGTTTTCTCATTGATATACACAAATGTGTTGATCACACCAACTTTGCCTTTGTTAGCTAACTTGTTTGATGAATGACTGTTCCTTGTGGGCCACACAATGCCAACAAATAAAGGGTGAGCAATAATTTGTCAGATATCCAAACTGTCTGACCAAACCCAAAACGTCAAATCACGAAATAAATACATTGTCAAAAGACATACGATTGTCAGTGGACCTTTTGTGATCTCCACGGTGCACGTTGCATGCTCTAAATAGGTGTCTGGATGGCTATCAAGGGAAATTGGTTTCACTCTTCATTAAGAGCATTGCCGAGTTGCTGGAAGGGCAGGGCGGCTTGTAATTCGTTCCACATGTTTTCGATAGGGTTGAGGTGTTGAGGTTATCAATATGGGTAGTCCGCACTCACGTATCGCAACGTATGTAAAGAAAACAAATAAATAATGTCATTTGCAAATACAGAAAAATACGCTTATATAAGGAACACCCTTATAACGAACGAACTGACGGATATAACGAACTAGTTTAATTTTTGCCCCGGACCCCTTCTGTATCTTATTTTATTATCCATATGGTGAAACATTACCAGTGTCATGTATATCAAATGTGCACATATCACTTTTGCCTAGCAACCATTGTTTCTGTATTACATCGTCTGTGACGTCATTAAACCATGGAACGTGACGTCAATTAACAGGGCAGTCACACTTGCTTACCGTGTTTTACTGCACAAATGTACATGAATATAATATATAGTAAAGACATTATTTACACTCGAGCAAGTGTGTCATACGACTTATACGAAACTCGTGCAAAATTATGTACTACCCTCGCTTTCACTCGTTTCGTATGACACACTTGCTCGTGTAATAATCTCTAAGTCTGTCTATTATTGTCGAAATAACGAACTACGGATATAACGAACAATAAGTGGTCTCTTTCAGTTCGTCATTACCGTTGGTGGACATATATTGTGATGCGGTGTTCGTGTATATTTTGTTTGATTCGTATATGTGTCGCTCCATGGTCAAAGAGTATCTGCCTGAATAGCGGACACGCATGCACACACACACGCACTCACACGGGCATGTGACATCATTACTCTTGCACGCGACGTTCATTCCCATTTCACCACTCACTATGTCATACACGCCGTTTTGAGCAGCGTTCTGCTTAACACCCGTACATTTTGTCTGTCTTGTTCGTGACGTCAAGGGCGGTGCTGTAGCCAAGTGGTTAAAGCGTCCGCACGCCAATTTCTGGAGTCCCCGACGTGATATTGCTGAAATATTGCTAAAGGTGGCGTAAAACAGGCAACCCTCGACAAATGGTTCAATTTCAACAAGCATTGTCACTAAGTTAAAAAGTAATGAAAGTGAAATTCGTAGTTTAAGATGAAGTTAAATGTCAACAAAAACATGAACAATACATTTCTCTTGATATCTTGCTCTGTAGTTGTTTTAAACACACACATATTTTCAAGACTCACTTTGGCCATAACATGAATGTCATGGTTTATGAAATATGCAAAAATAGTAATAAAGAAATTGCTTATCAAAAAACATTGAAAAGTCTTGAAAGTCTATGAAGGAAATCCAGTGAACCGTTCATGAGATATTTTGCTGACAATCTGAACATGCAGGTTAACATGTTGAAATCTTCAAAGTGTCGCCGTGACCTTGAGAATTACGTGAAGGTCACAAAATTCATCTGTGCCCTACGTCGTCGTCCCTAGATACAGCTTGGTGTCAACTGTGAATAACATCCAGTGAATGGTTCTTGAGGTATCTCCCTGACAAGCTTAACATGCAGGTTAACATGTTGAAATCTTCAAAGTGTCGCCGTGACCTTGAGAATTACGTGAAGGTCACCAAATTCATCTGGGCCCTACGTCGTCGTCCCTAGATAAAGCTTGGTGTCAACTATGAATAACATCCAATGAATGGTTCTTGAGGTATCTCCCAGACAAGCTTAACATGCAGATTAGCAGGCTGAAATCTTCAAAGTGTCGATGTGACCTTGAAAATTACATGCAGGTCACCACTGTCGACAGGGCTCTGTGCCTCTCCTAGTTGAAGCTTGGTGTCAAATATGAATAAAATCCAATGAATGGTTCTTGAGGTATCTCCCTGCCAAGCTTTACATGCAGTTTAACAGGCTGAAATCTTCAAAGTGGCGCTGTGACCTTGAAAATTACGTGAAGGTCACCAAATTCATCTGGGCTCTGTGCCTCTCCTAGATGAAGCTTGGTGTTGAATATGAATAAAATCCAGTGAACGGTTCTTGAGGTATCTCGCTGACAAGGGTAAAACGGTAAAAGTCCCTTTGTGGGGTTGAAATGAAGGTCAAGGTCACCAAACATGACTGGGACCTTTCGCATACTGTGATGAACGTCGGTACCAAATATGAAAGTATCTAGTCAACGGTTCTTAAGATATTATAATTCGTACGTACGTACGGACGGACGGAGCCTAATACTATATACCCCTAAACGCGCGGCGGGGTATAAACAAACTTACAAGTTTGAACAACACTTAGGCACTGGTCTTTATATTTTTATAGAATGGACTGTGGAAAAATGGTGCGTAATTTATAAATCATCATCATCACTATCATCATCGTCGTCGATGCAATAAAGGTCATAGCCGCATCGCTGCATCACGGGTGTTCTTAGTACAAACATGATCTAATCTTACTCATACTCTCACTCACTCACTCATGACATTCTTATCCCAGACTTTACCCTTTAGCCAGGCCTTACCCTTTACAGGTATCATGACTATGGGTCACTAAATCAGTTCGTCACGGTCAAGAAAGGTCACCGGTACTTCTTCTGGGCGTACGTCAAGATACTCAATTATGCAAGTGGAACGGATAAAGAGACTGTGTCTGCAGGGATTGCAGTGAAGGAGAGAAGCAGCGGTAAGATCACAAAAAGCCTTTCATTTATTCATTCATTCATTCATTCATTCATCTATTTATTCATTAATTCATTAACCATTCATTCATTCATTCACCCATCCATCCATCCATTCATCCAAAATCCATTCATTCATTCATTCATCCATCCATCCATCCATCCATCCATCCATCTATTCATTCATCCATCCATCCATCCATCCATTCGTGTATGATACATGTAGAACACACTTTCATCAAGATGATACGTAAAGATACGAATATTGTGTAATAATCTACTTAGGAGAAGGTGACATCTTGTATTGAATTATTGACCTGTATCCCGGGCTGTTTGGAGGGATATCGTATCCCGGGCTGTTTAAAAGGGGTACCTGTGTCTTCAAATACAGAAGGCCATCAGTGGGTCCACAACATTTTATTCATTATTCCATTTGTCAACTACATGGTAATGTCGTAATGTCTAGGCGGCATTTGGGAGGCGATGGCCAGCCAACCTGCTGAGCCGCTGTCCGAGGGTCAAGTCCCGACTCACACAAAGCATTCTCTACTTATCCTTAAGGGTCGAATCCTGATCAGACTGTCACGTGTCACATTTATGACAGATGTGTGGTCAGCCCGCAGTATCCCGCACCTCATCCACAATGGCATGCTTCATTGGCCTATCGGCCTCTGTCTAACTTTCAGAAATTCAGATTATCCGTTCAGACATTCACAGCCTCTATATCACACAAAACAACACATGAAGTACCAATTTAGAGTTTTCCCAACCTCAACATTTACCATTCTAATTCAGCTTAGTATGTAACACGAGTTCTGATTGGCCTGTGGCAGTGATGTTATGTTATGTCATCTCTGTGCCGGAGTGTAATAATAAACGTGTGTAGTTTGAAAAGGGAACTACTTTTTCTGGCGATGGTGTAAGTTCAAGGAGTGATATGATTAACCTTTGACCTAGAGGATATTTGACCTGGTTTAAATAATGAATTTCTTTCACGAAACAACAGCGTAAAACGAGTTGAATTAGAATGGGGATAATTGTACTGTGTTTGACGAATTGGGGACGCGAGCCGATATAACGTTAAATTTGCGGCTATATAACCACCGGTATACGTCCCCAATTCGTCAAACACGGTACAGTTACGCGTCGCCGATATAACGTTAAATTTGCGGCTATATAACCACCGGTATACGTCCCCAATTCGTCAAACACGGTACAGTTACGCGTCGCCGATATAACGTTAAATTTGCGGCTATATAACCACCGGTATACGTCCCCAATTCGTCAAACACAGTACAGTTATCCCCTAAATCTATGTTTGCGACTTTCAGGCAAGACGCATTATCTTGGATTTGGCAGCACACCGTATATACAGACAAACCAGTGGCACATCATTGGAGGGGACACCGAAATAACCAATGTTGGTATGTAACTGTGCTTGGACTAACGAACCTTCTAACTTTATGTATAACACCTTCTTGTTTATCGCATAGAGACAATGTTTCAATGTAGATTTTATACCATTGTAAAATTAAAAGTGACGGATACAGCCAGGTGATGAGAGTGATTGAGTATGGTTTTACGCCGCTTTCAGAAATATTCTAGCAATATCACGACGGGGGACGCTATAAATGGGCTTCACACATTGTACCCATGTAGGGAATCGAACCCGGGTCGGTCGGTGTGACGATTGAACGCTCTACCACTAGATTACCTCACCGCCCCTCCAGGTAATCAGAGGTATACGATATCGTATATCGTGACAAGCAGCCGATTAATGCAAAACAAAAACAACAGATAACATAGTGGCTCAAGCGTTCGCTCGTCACGCCAAAGGCCCAGGTTCGATTCCCCACAGGGGCACAATGTGTGAAGCCCATGTCTGGTGTCCCCAGCCGTGATATTGCTGGAATTTTTTCTAAAAGTGGAGTAAAACTAAACTCACTCACTCACTGATAAACAAGTAGCAGACCTCTGGGTGAGACCAGTAGGAGAGCAGGATCCCATATATCCACGAAGCCAATATACAGGAAGGAATCGTGTGCTTGGACTGTCAACGCCGAATATTAGAATCATATAAAATATCACCTTGGATTTTGACTGTTGAACTATACTGTCAGTAACGGACGTATGGAAGGATTGTGTGTTCGAATACGTCCCGAGTGAGCTACGCAACTGGGAAACAAAGACATGTGTCAACCAAGTCAGCGATTCTGGATTCCGTTAGTCGCCTCTTACGATGAGCTTGATTTGCTGAAAACCACTTCTGATCCGGATCTTCAAATGCGTGCGTTAGTTTTCGGCATCTGTATTTATTATTTTCATTTATGCCGTGAACGATGTCAATGCGCTCTTGTATATTCTGAACAAACGCAACCTACATAAACACCTTTCGAGATCGCCACAAACATAGGCAGGGCCACCTGTGACCAATGCATATACATTCCCTCACAGTATAAAGTTTAAACGAATTCTTCTGCATGACAAAACTGTTGAATGTTTACAGATATATCTGAGGCGCGTGTCTACATCCGACCTTCAGACCAGAGTGTCGACTTCATCGTGGACTACGCCAGTTTGCAGGAAGTTTACCCTCTGTCTGGTTTCCCTGGCGACGCCAACAAGAGGATCGATAGCGTCCGGAAAGGAGACCTTACGATCAGGTAGGAGTGGTAAAGACATCTGAAATCTGAAATAATTGTACATCCATATCTATAGGAACAAGCCTGTGCATTTGTATCAATATTAAGCGACAGTGCGACAAGTGATCAAAATTTTCGGTAAGTATCAACGATATTACTCGAAGCACGACAATTCAATCATGCGATAATTGGACAAATGGTCAAATTGTCACCCTTTTGGTAAATATCAACGATCGTCCTTCAGGCTCAGGGAACATAAACAAACATCGAGGGTACATGGGCCTTCGGGCTCAGGGAACATAAACAAACATTAAAGTACATCACCCATGGGCCCCGAGGGACCAGTGAACAACGTACCCTTTTGGTAAATATTAACGATATCATTCGAAGCACGACAATTGGCCGAGCTGATTGGCCGAGCGCTCTTCGGGCTCAGGGAACATAAACGAACATCGAGGGTACATCAGCTCATGTCCCCCTCGAGACCAGTGAACAACTAGGAATGTGACCATGGGACAAGTGGTCAAAATGTCACATTGTCGCGCAATGGTTAATTCAGAGACATTTTACTTGTTTCTGTAAGGGCGAATTGTCACTTTTGGGACTCCATATATTAGGTTAAACTGGCAAGACACATCGTAACATGTACCTGTTTGTGCTGGCGGGCATGATTCTCAGGATTCACTTGTACGCCTGATATCACTTCCATCTACATTATGAGCATCTGTCTACGCAATAGGGATACGATTACATCAACCAAGTCAGCGAGCCTGACCGCCCGATCCCGTTCGTCGCCTCTTACGACAAGCACCGGTTACTGAAGATCAGTTCTAGCCCGGATCTTCACTATATTTAGTACTATCCCAGACCATAGGTCTTGTCTTTGGATTCTAGATAGATTAGGTTAATGACAGAATGTGTACCATATTGTCCCGGTGCCGCAGACTTTTGTCCGTGTTTCCATTCACTTGTTTGACTGGTTCATTATTTACACAAATGACATGACATAGCTTCAGTATTGCTGAGACACAACACAGCACTCAATCTGTTATTCCTCTCTCAGGCTTGATGATCATTCAGTAGAACCCAGTGGACTCACCGTGGAGGTGAGTTTAATCTCTTCTCACTTGGGTAAGTATGGTTTTACGCCGTTTTTGCAATATCCAAGAACATCACAGCTGGTGCGTAAATGTTACTCTGTTCGTGTACATGATTTTCGAGATAAAACTTCACACAGAAACTGTCGCGTGAAAGGTGTTTTACAACATTTTTATTTCGAAATGTTGCAGTAACGTGGCATATAAACTGCCGGACAAAAAAACTATGCTTGATGGAGAAATATACGAGACGTTGTTTTTTCAGTGGTCATGCATTCGATACGAGTATATTGTTGTGTTTTGTCTTTAAGTCTTTAAGTTTTCACAATTGTTTTTACCAAGTAACCTCTTTGTCAGTTCGAGTTAGTTATGAAGTGTGTACTTACTATTGCACGTCAGTATATATGCTCAACAAAAACGGTTAAAGACCACCCAATTTTCAATATCTAAATATTTAATAGTTCATATTATTAGGGGGACGCGGTGGGCGAGCTGGCTAAGGCGCCAGGCTAGTGATCCAGCGAAGTTGAGGTGTCGGGATCGAGCCCACCTGTGACCGGGTGTAAAAACCTGGGAGTCAACATTGTGTGCAGACTCTTTCAGTGTTGTCACAACCCCTAGTGTACAGTACACAACCCTGTGCACTTAAAAGAACCCACGAATCCGCTGGTATATATGACCAGATGGTGGCCACATGAATACGTGCAAACACCCAGTTGCGGGTACAGCAGCGTGCAGTAAACTTGGACAAAGTACTATGACTATGTGTCCCAGTCCACCCAGCTGTGAATGGGTACCTCGTTAGGATGAGAAAGCCACAATAACTCAGTGTGCCTAGTGGCTGCAAGAGTTGTATACTCCCCAGGGAGTTGAGATTGATAATACGATGTGCCGTTGAGATTGACATCCAATGATCGAGGGAAAAAATACCAGCGCCTTGAGCATGCACTAGTTGCCTGGATATTTGCGCCATATAAATATCCTGTAATAATAATAATAATAATTCTTCAATACTGAATATTTCGGTGATCCTTAACTTTTTAATGTTGAGTATATAACAGAACGGCTGTAAACTATAATAGCTAAAATACATGGAATTTTCATGAAACGGCCCTTAACGCAGGGCCCACACTCCGGCGCAGTGATGACTTAGCATACTGGGTGCCTGGGCTTACGGTTCAGTCGACATTGGCTTTGGACTGGCAGATATTCTGGGGCAAACAAGTCAAAGCAACCCGAATTCCCGCTTAAATAGCGGTAATATTGGCATTCTTGCTGGTGCTAACGTTGTTGTTGGACCAAAACCGAACACTGAAAACTGACGTTGTGTCTGACATAGTTTGACATGTTGCAGGCTATGGTTTTGTCAAAGGCCAAGGTCGAATATCGACACGTTCTGTTGTGACGTCACTGGAATTGTTCGATGACGTAATTGCATTCGGTCAGTCAACCCCGTGAGAAGTTGGTTTTGAGTAAACTTACAGTCAAATTCCTTCATTGTTTCCTTTTTCTTTTCAACAAAAAATCCATGTATTTTAGCAATAATAACGGTAATGCTATTTTTGAGGGCATGATCATTTGCAGAAGCCCTCGGTCTTTTTCAACTGCCCTCCTTCGTCGGGCAGTTAATGGAAGACCTAGGGCTTCTGCAAAATGATAATGCCCTCAAAAATGGTACCTCAAAAATAGCATTACCCTTATAATATGGCATCTCTGTGCATATTAAGTGTGTATTGCTTTCATCCATCAATATATTTTTAGTTACACGGTGTTTTGAAAGGGTATACGGGACTCTACAAGCTAGGGTCTTACAATCCCGTACACCCTTTCAAAACACCATGACGAATTTATTATCCTTAAGATTTTTATGTTAAGCTTATTTTTATAACCAACTTTCAATAGAAATAACATAAAGCGACATTCTACCACGACTTCAGTAAACACTGGATTGTGATTGGTTAATTAAAATCATTCAGAGGTATATAATCACGTTATACAGGTCTCTGATTTTCCGTGCGCAATCATACATGGTTTACGGTAATGCACTATTTTTGTCTGCCCACCAACATGGCGGACACCAAACAACCTACCGATACATCGATAAATTACGGCGATTTTGCTGTCGGAAATTACACATATGTCTTAAAGATGGATTTAGCGATGACGGGCTCGACTCACTACTTGCGTAGATCACAGCAATAGGTGTTTATACATACAAAAGTACTTCGAAAGCGTGGAAACAAATATTCAGTCGAACAAGATCAAAACATCGTCTGCTTTCCGAATAAAAATTCAGCAAAAACAAATATGTTTACGTTGAGTCTATGTTATGTCAGAATAGATCCAGCAATAGACTGCTACATAATTTCCGTGTTAAATTTATTATCAGCTTTCGTCAACGATATCGCCACTGATCTTGATCCGGTAACGGAGGATGCATTAACATCGAACGCCGAAGAAATTTTAATGCCTTCCGTCCACATAAATAAACAGTTGGGTTATCAATTCAAACAAAATGATATTTTGAAATTTGTACTGTTTCAAATTTAGCGGAAGTAAAACACAATTACAGCATCTGCAAACCGTTCTGTTTAGCCCAACATATTTTTTTTCAAAAAGTATCGATATAATATCGTTGAAAAAGTTATTTAGCTTAGTCATGATTCCTCTTATCCATTACACTGCTTGATCTAAAGTAGTCTATTAAAGTATAATTAATTACCTTACCGTGTTTATGCCAGAGGTACACCCTCATGTCCTAATCCATCCTTTCGGAAATATCACCACAAATCTGGCTCTTTGTCAACAGACTCGCGAACATGCCAGCGAATCCGATTCAATTTGAATTCACTACACTTTGAAGCCACTAGGTCACAAAACACTTTCCAAATGTAGAAAATAATATGCGTAGAATCGAATTTGAGCACAAAGTACACACATGAGTGTGTAAGAGTCACCACAGCTGTCGCACGCAGACTTAGAGGTGCGTGAAATCGTCAAGTTGACAGGGCGCAAAATTCAACAGTATCTTAATTCGGTACAACACGGACTTCTCGTTACAGCAAAAGCGCCTCTACTCTTAAATTTTGTACCAGTACCAGTAATTAGATATCAAAGACTATCTCAGTCATACAATCAGGTTAACCTTGCGCAAACTGTCAGAGGCTCTCCTGTCGCATCTTTCCAAATTTGCACGTAAATGTAAACAATGACTTCCGAGAAAAGGTCAAGGCCATGTGGTTGCTGCCATTATTCTGATGGGGAAAGGGTCTACGATGGAATTTTCAAATGTGAACCAAGCTTTTTAAACTTATTTGATATATGTTTTCCATTTGTTATTACTGAATCTGGAGTTTGTTAGTCATTGACGGTTTGTCACCAATCACCCCGTTTCGGGCGATGCCACTTGAGATTGGAATGCGAGGCCGCTTCACGTATTGACTCGTAACCAAAGAAAGAGCTCCACCTGAAATTGTTCATAAAATTGTCATGGTAGAATGGAGATAAACCTACGGTGTTGGAAAATCAGAGGTATACATGAAGAAATTTGCTGGGACCAAAGAAAAGTGTTTACTTATCAGGTATGTTTAGTTAAGCAGTCTTTACTTAGGCGGTTTCCACTGTATAACGAAATTATAATAGCTCTAATTGTTCATTTAAAACCTCACGTTACGCGTTCGGTTTTAACTGAAATTCGGTAGCTTTTAGCGAAATTATAATAGCTCTAAATTGTTCATTTAAAACCTCACGCTACGCATTCGGTTTTTAAATGAAATTTAGAGCTATTATAATTTCGTTATATATACCTCTGATTTTCCTACACAGTAGGTTTATCGCCTAAATAAACTCGTAAAGGGAAATAACTCTTGATGGCTTGGTTTATGATAAAATGATGAGGTGTTTGTTATTTGACAAGTGAAATGCAGAAACATTTTATTTGTTTGATATTTTTATTGACACAAACAAATACGAAATTATGGCAACAATCTTATTACTCTGTTTATATCATAATTGTATACGCCGACTCTAAAATTTCAAAGCAATCAGCTGTTTGGCAGCCATATTCTATCTAAGGTCAAGGTCATTTGTACAACCAGTGTACAGTCGTCACCACTAGCCCTTTTCCGTAACCGTTATTTGGCCTGTCCCGGAATAACACGAGTTGGTCACGAATTAGTGTAGTGTGTCACGTGACAGATTTGGCGGGGTGTATGGTTCGTACACCTTGGCAAATTCGCCTACATGGTTTCGTATGCTTTGGCTATTGACTAGTGTTTGGAATTGGTGTAAATCTCATATTTGATGACTGGTTCATTACAACCGATCAATCATCGAAAATAATTGGTTAGCGTCATTTATCAAATTTTCCTGGTTATGTTTGTTAATGCAGAAAAAACATCTTTCACATCTTTAAAGGATGACTAGTGTGTTAGGAACATACATTTCCTGGAGTTGTTCTTAATCATGACTTGGAACGAGCTTGTAGTGCTTATGCAATGTAGAGACAAAATCAACCTTTTGAAAAATATTGTTATTGCAAACAAGTGTTCCAAAATTGTTTGTGTTCGATTATGAGAAAACATGATCGATTGCTTGGTCGTTTTGTCATTGCGACCAATCTTCGATTATTTCAATTAATCGGACCACCACTACTATTGACCAGTCAGAATTCGACAAATATATCTTAAGGGTAATAAGATTCCGTTTGTTTTTGCTGTTGACTAATCAGAATTCGACAAAGTTATCTTAAGGGTAAAAAGTAAGGGTACAGCAGTTAAGTAATATGGCATTTTTGTGTGCATTCCAGGTGCAGGAGATGACAGGTTTGTTCGCATTCGGATCAGCTGTGAACGCCGGTGCATTCGTGGACCCCCGCTTCAAAGGGTACCAGGACTACTTCTACAAGAACTTCAACTGGGCCGTCATTGAAAACGACCTCAAATGGACCAATATGGAGCCACAGAGGGTGGGACATTTTTTAAAACTAGATTCCTTCGACTCCCCTCACGGGCTTCAAAGTGTGAAGCCCATTTCTGGTGCCCCCCGCCGTGATAATACTGGAATATTGATAAAAGCGGCGTAAAAGAGGCCACCCTCATCAAATAGAGTGAGTTTAGTTTTACGCCGCTTTTAGCAGTATTCCAGCAATGTCTCGGCGGGGACACCAGAAATGGGCTTCACACATTGTACCCATGTGGGGAATCGAACACGGGTTTTCGGCGTGACGAGCGAACGCTTTAACCACTAGGCTACCCCACCGCCCCCTCATCAAATAGAAGTGAAAAATACTTCATTTAGGGACTGATCTTACATTTTTAAATAATGGGATGTCGGAAAATGGTGAATGATTTTTAAATATATAATTTTATCATCATCACCATCATCGTCACTATCACCGTCGTCGTCCTCATATGTGTTGTTGTTTTTAGGGTCACATCGACTACAACACTGCAATGAACGCCATAGACGCATTGCTGCATCACGGGTATGCTTAGTACAACCATGATGTAATCTCATATATAATGTATGAATATACACTCTGTTGTCCTCTTGTAAGTGCGTGAGTGAGGATGGTTTTACGCCGCTTTTAGCAATATTCCAGCAATATCACGGCTGGAGACACCAGAAATGAGCTTCACACATTGTACACACGTGGGGAATCAAACCCGGGTCTTCGGCGTGACGAGCTACCGCTTTACCTACTTGGCTACCTCACCGGCCCCTCTGGGGTAGCCTAGATGTTACAGCGTTCGCTCGTCACACCGAAGACCCGGGTTCGATTCCCAGCCGTGATATTGCTGGAAAATTGCAAAAAGCGGCGTAAAACTAAACTCACTCACTCTAATAATGTTATAGTATGGAAGACGTTATTGTGGGCTTAGCAGAAAACCCTTTCATCTGAAGACAAATATGCAAATGGAATTAGTTGATTTTCGAACACAAGTTTCGATAAAAGTAATGGATGTATCTCTTTGGCCTTGTCTGTCGGGTTACACGGTGCATTCCGTTGAACACTTTTCGGACCATGGCCAAATAGTCATTAAGCATTAGAAATGTACTGTTGAAATTAATGTAGCTGTTCTTTTCTGGCATTGCATTACTTCCTGAGTCATGAGCACAAATACCAACTATAACGGTAATTTTAATTTTATTTGATTTTTTACATTTTTTTAATTTATCCGTACCATTTGTTTCTTTATTTCTGCTGTTAGTGTTAACTTTTAAAAAGATACAACATTGGCAAACTTTATTAATAACTTCTTTCTCGTGACGTTTTGATACAGATTCTTGTGCCGTTGTCAATCTGGAAGAATCGGTATTGAAACTCACAAAATATAAGAAGTTGTCATCCGTAAAGTTTGTCAATATTGTACTTCCCAACGTCGCAGGTGCCACTCAAAGAAGTTTTAAAAAGACGTCCTTGAAGATACGTTCACTGTTATATTCAGGATCAAAGTTCGAGGTCACAATATCTTCTGGGAGTCGAACTCGCCGGCCTGGGTTAACCACCTATCTGGACAAGCTTTACGTCAGGCAATGGAGAAACGCATGAATGACGTTGTTGGACATTACAAGGGAAAGTAAGTTATTCTATTATGTTGTATATATAGAGAATACTAAACGATGTCCCGTGTAATACCATATTTCTGAAACGAGTGAATGGTTTGGGATCTAACGGGCCGTCGTTTAGTATTTTATTTATTACTTACCCAACATTAGCAAAATAATATCTCAGAATTCAACTTACAGAACGAGTGCATTACGCCGTCAAAACAGCATCACGCGTATGAATACATTTCATTTATGATTGTCAACATTAGTCTATATAATTTGATTTTTTTAAATAAACAAGGGGCTATGAAAAAAAAGGGACGATTTGGCTTCAGCCAACATATTATTTTTTATATAAATGCTATTTCACGCAACCCAGCGAAGAACAGTTAAATATCGCGATTTCGAGATGTGTTGTGAATGACAGCCGACATTTTGTTTTGATCACGTTACTTTGGTCATGTGACCGAGTGCAAATAGTTCCGGCCGCACGCGATGTTATTACGCAATGTGTAATAACATTGTAGATTTATTAAACAGTGATATCTTCAAGGGGTGAATAATGCAATATAGTATGGCCAGAAATTATTGAGAATTTTAGGAATATGTTTAATTGGATTTCTAGTATAAACTTGGTTTCATTCAAGAGAGACAACTTCGTTAATCCTTTTTTATTAGTTTGTGAAGAGTTATCCCCCTTTGTTTACTTGCTAGCAGACGACATTTTCAGTGATCCTCAGTATGAATGATTTAGAGAAGAGGAAGTTGATTTTAGAGTATTATAACAAGGACATCAGATCAGCTAAAGTGATTTCAAGTAGAACAGGCACCCCGTTGTCCACTGTTTATCGTGTTTTGCAAATGGATATGGCAAATATATTGCAAATGGATATGGCATTGAGCACCAGGGAGGTGCAGGTAGGCCCAGAAAATTGACTGTCGGTGACAGAAGCGGCTTGGTGTTCTTGTTTCTAAAAACAAACGAAGGAGTTTAGAAAACTTAAGGCTGGATATGATTGATAGATGAACTGTGGCTGTCTGTAAGGAGACAATTAGAACTGAGCTGAATGCAATGGGTTGGCCCAAAAGTCGAGGAATTCCATCACCGATCATGAAACCTGAACAAAAGGAGCGAAGGTTGAACTGGTGCTTACAGCATAGAAATTTTAACTGGGACAATGTGATTTTCTCAGATGAAAGTTCTGTGTGGCTGTTTCCTAATACACTGAAATTCTGGACCAAACAACCTGAAAAAACCTTTGTATCAGCGTCCAAAGTAGAGTCCGAAATTTAACATGTGGGGTGGCATATCTGTGTTAGGGGCAACGCCCCTCTGTGTATTTGAAGGGAATATGAACAGTGAGAGGTACACAGATATTCTCGAGGGACATTTACTGCCATCTGCTCACTTGTCTATGGACATTTTTTTGATTTTCTAGCAGGACAACGACCCAAAACATCGTTCAAAGCATTGACAGGCCTGGTTTCGGACCCAAAATATGACATTATTACAATGGCCAAGCTATAGCCCTGACCTAAATCCAATAGAAAATGTTTGGGGACTTATGAAGGAAAGTGTCAATAACAAAAATCTGACAAATATTGCTGAAATGAAAGAAGAGGTGGTCCGATATTGGGACAGCATGGACCACGACTTTCTAACTTCTTTGATCAGTAGTATGCCCCGCCGCATTGAAGCCTGCATTGCTGCCCATGGTGACTTGACAAAATACTAACTATTCACCTGTCTTTGAATCTGGAGTTATGTTCTGCTAATATTCACATTTAATACGTGAGTAATGAGTGAAAACAAAAATACAATCTTTAAATTCTCAATAATTTCTGGTTGTGTATATACGATGAAACCCTTGAACGATGTGGTTGGAAATTGCAAGATAAAGTAAGTCACGACATTTGTACACCACGGCGATTATGTACGTCCTGCCCTGTAGGTACGGGTCGTACATGATGAACGCATTATTTACAGATTTGATCAAATGTATTGGTTGTTCGACAGCTAACATTTAATAAATTATTTCGAAGGTTATGTGTCGAATCCCACTTGATAGCTGGTGGCGGGGGCAGGCATGGTTGGGACGCATTGTGTTCACAATCTGAATCCGATTGCCAATTTCATGGTTTAACCAAGTCTTTATTTTGTCAAAATACCATTATCCCGAATTAATTATAAAATAGCTTTGTGGAAACAGTGAGAATTTTTGAGAAATCTCACAATTGTCCAGGCTATGCCATGATCAGACATTGTTCCCATGATGTTACTCGTAATAGTCAGAAATAATTTGGTCTGATTAAGAGTCATTCACATAACCAACATTGCACGCTTACAGAAGTGCACATCACCTTATAATCGAAAGATTGTGTTGGTGTTCAAACCGCAAACTAACTTGGTGCTACGGCGCATGGCATATTGGTGAGGGTTCCCGAAGTCGTAAAATAAATAAAGGTCCCGATCAGGCTCTTAAAACCCAGTACATGGTAAGACCATTAAATGAGATAATTTGACTTCCACCCCCGCCGTGATATTGCTGACTCACCGACTCACTCACTCACTCACTCACTCACTCACTCACTCGCTCATCCACTCACTCACTCACTCACTCACTCTACTCGCCCACCCACCCTCCCACTCACTCACTCACTCACTCACCCACTCTCCCAGATTGCAGCACTGGGATGTCGACAACGAGGCTCTAAGCGGTGACACCCTTGTACGCCATTCCGGAGACAGGAACCTCACCATGTGGATGTTCAGAGAGGTCCACAAGATCGACCCTAACGTCAAGCTGTTCTTGAACGACCACGAAATTGTGAACTACAACAAACATACCGTGGTATGGCCGTCTAGTTACTCCCAGCTACCATAGCCGTATCCCTGTGCTTCTCCCAGAAAACAACCTGTGAAAAACCCTTGCTTGTCGTAAGAGGCGACTAACGGGATCGGGTGGTCAGGCTCGCTGAAACATCCGTATCCTAATTGCGTAGATCGTTGATGATGATGATGATGAGGAGGAGGAGGAGGATGACTCTATTATTTACAGAATGCCGATATATAGCTGGAATATCGCTGATAGCAGAGTTAAACAACAGACAAAGAGCGGCTTTCCTCTTTCTGTATATTTAGACCAAACTGTCAAAGTATTGATGTCTGCGTACAAAGAATCATGTAGATTAGACATACATTAATTCATTGTCATTTTTTATGTTTATTGACGAATCTCTTATCACGTATTCACCAAGTATACAATTTACTTCTGTTTTCTTATCAATAATCTTCATAAAGTGGCTTGTTGTTTCATTCTAAATATTTTATTTCTCAAGGACCAGCTGCGCAGATATAAGAAAACTTTTTTAAAATTTCATTTAATAAAACTTGTTGAAGTACAAAGCCCATGTAAGAAACATCTAGCTTTTTCTTCCAGGCTTTAGAAGACCAGGCTGTGTACTACAAGGCAGCGGGAGTGCCTCTTTCAGGAATAGGCATACAGAGTCACGTCCGGCACCCTATAGACCTGGCGGCGATCTGGGTAAGGTCAGCGTTAAATCGAGTTTTTGTACTTATACCATGTGGCAAAAAAACAAAACAAACAAAACCCCAGAAAATAATGATAAATAATTTATTTAAATTACTAACGCAATGTGTGATCTAAGAATAGTGATATTTTTAAAACAGCAATTTCACAGCACATGGAATTTTCCACATTATTACTGTCCCTCCTATCCACCTTGATCTAAGTTTTAATCTAACTACCCCGCTTCCACCCCACCCCAATTTTACCCCGCACTCAACCCCCATCCCCTATCGAAAAGCCCAAAATATGGTGGTGTTTGATTGCAACGGAGAATGGTCTTGGTTTAAAACTGAGAAAACTTCACGTACTCACGTACACCACACTATCACCCCCACCCACCGCAGACTTAATTCCACCACCTGTTTCCTCCACACAAACTCACCCCTCCCTCCCCACCCCTCACATATACGACTATCAACACCATCACCACACCCACCCGTCCCCCTGTCCCCTAACCCCAACGCAAATCCAACATGTATACACACTATGTGTGCAAACTTGCTTTTGTCGCTATATGGCTAAAATAATGGCGATGCGTCAAGAAATTTTAACTCACTCACTCACACTAAACATTTGGGTTCAAAAGCAACCGATTGTCACTTTCCAATACCTGGCAATACGTATAGATTGCCACATAGCTCTCTTGTTCAATAAACATTTATGTAATATATGTGTTGAGACCATAGAGACATTAGCACATAAACTTTCTGTTCATGTAAGACTACCTGGTTCCCCAGGCTCGGCTGGACGAGGTGGCCCGGGCTGGACTGCCCATCTGGATCACCGAGATGACCATAGAGGGGGTGCCAGAGAAGGACAAGCCGCAGATGTTTGACGACTTGTTGCGCCTCTACTTCAGCCACCACGCCGTTCAGGGCGTGTTGTTGTGGGGCTTCTGGAGCCAGAGGATGTCCCGACCCGAGTCAGCTCTGTGTACTGGGTCTGACTGCACGGTAATGTATCCCCATTGCTACGAGGTGACTTCCAAATTGAAACGCAAAGAGTAATCCAGAAATCGCTACCAACAGAACTAAACTGTGTTTGTTGATTAACGCCACACTCAGCAATATTCCGGTTATATGGCAGCGGTCTGTAAACAATCGAGTCTGGACCAGACAATCCAGTGATCAACATCATGAGCATCAAAAGTTGTAATGTTAGTCAGCGCATACTGGTGTGTTATATGCCACCTATATCTATCAACCAATGAAGCAATCATAATATACAGCAATAAATTACTGCTCAAAAGCGTTTAGAATCATGGGTAATTATTATTCCTTGTGGACTTTTTGCTGAACAAATATGTTTTCAGCAATGATATAAAAGAGCTTAGTTAATTTTCGATCGGCGTCCTGGTGGTAAATTATTGAAAAGATGGGGCCAAAATATCTGAAAGCCCCGATCTCCGTAGCATTCTGAGCCCTTGGTCGCAGTGATCGTAAAGGTTCATAGGGCTGCACAAGATCAGAAGGAGTGAGAAGAGTGAGCACCTTGATCTACAGAATCTTGATGTACATACACCCTTTCGTGGGGAGCCAAGATGAAGCCCCCAACAGTTGGGGGATTATGATCGTATCTGCTTGTTCCTAGAATGTATCCAGAGATATGCTGATAAGAGACCCTGTGTTCCTGTTTCCTGGCAGGTAAATGACAGCGGGAGGCGTGTGAGTCATCTGGTACAGACAGAATGGAAGACCCACGAAACCCACTCCATCATGAAAGGTCAAACAGTCCGCATCCGGGGATTTAAAGGAAGCTACGTGTTGCGCGTGAAGCATCATGGCCACACGATTCACGAGGAGACATTCTATCTGGGCTACCAGGGCACGGACCTCAAAGTGTCACTCACTGGATCCAGTAAGTCTCGAGTTCTTCCAGCAGTTTCACATTTGTATACATACCTGCCAACTCTTACCCCTTCACATCATTCTGTAAACATACAGTGTTTACAGTTATTCCAACAGATTCGCAACATCTGAATATAACGTTTGCAGTTCACCTCACGGTTAATCATAGAAGCCCTCTCTACTTTATATTCTGTTGGCGTACACGGCCATCTTCAGTCTGTTCTGCCTGCTCTGCTTAATGTAAAGTCGAGAGGTACTGACAAATCATGGCAAAACCCAATGATTCTCTGTTGTAATCACTGCTAGGTTTTCAGCTAGAAAGAAAACAGATGATGATCAGTTTGGATCTGTACATTCCATCCTAACTAACATGCTTCCCATAAACAAGCTTTCCGCAACATGGGCAAGATCCTGGAACGTTGACACCAGATCAGAAGCTGATCGACTAAACACATCCTGAAACCTTTTCACCCGTTCTCATTAAAATACTGATAATTTCAAAGCAAATTGTAACCAACGACTAGATCTGGGTCCATGACTTTGATCCCGATTGAAGATTTAAAGCAGACTGTTGGGAATTTTTAATATATGCGAATATGATGATTTTATTGTGTCAGTGAGTGGGTATAGTTTGAAGAAGTCGCTTTTAGTAATATTCCAGCAATATCATGGCGGGGAACACCAGAAATGGGCATCACATATTGTGCCCATGTCAAGAACTGAACCAGCCTTTTGCTTGAGGAGCGGTCGCTTTAACCACTCTGCTATCCCACCGTATAATGATGGTATTGGCATATTTCTTCCACATGAAAACTACAGGAAAGCTCTGTGGAAATTATATATTCGTGATTTTACGACCGCTTCGTATATTTAATATTCCTCTGATGCTACGCTTGATATTCCAAACTATTCAATTTCCCGCACAGAAAGCTGTCAGCGTCCTTGTCATGTTCGCCGAGTAAGCATCTTACCGTGTATATAACCTTGCATTATGTACATCCGAGATGGGAGCCGAGGGTGGACTTCAATCGAGCCACTATAAAGGCACATAACCTATTTATCTGGACACTGGGCACTCTTACGTCGACTCTTGAAACAAACTTGAGGGACTCTTCTTTCCGAAAAGGGGTGGTGGGGTAGCCTAATGGTTAAAGCGTTGGCTCGTCACGACGAAGACCCGGGTTCGAATCCCCACATGGGTACAATGTGTGAAGCCCATTTCTGGTGTCCCCCGCCGTGATGTTGCTGGAATATTGCTAAAAGCGGCGTAAAACCAAACTCAGTCAGTCAGTCTTTCCGAAAAAAACACGGAATGAATATTATTTATGTTGTGGATCCACTGTTTACAATCCATTATTTCGTCTGTTGCAGATTCCAGCCCGCACGTTGACCAGATCCTGGTGGGGTGACCACAGCCAGCATACCTTCGGGAGTTTCTCTTTGTATTGACGAAATAAACATGTTGACAACGGGAAAATGTTTGAATGACTGGGTTGCAACGTTTAAGATTACTGGTTCAAGACAAAATTAGCTCAATGGACTGTGGTGTAATAATTCGATGTCCAGAAACCCGCCCTGACCCGAAATCGATCCGAATCTCAGATTTGCCATGATTACCTCCCTTTTTCTGTGGACTACATACCGGTTGTTCTTCTTTGTTTGCTGATTTTGTTTGTCGTTTAATGCCGCACTCAGCAATATTCCACCTATATGGCGGCGGTCTGTAAATAATCGAGTCTGAACCAGACAATCCAGAGATCAACATCATGAGCATCGATCTGCGCTGTTGGGATACGATGACATGAGCTAACCAAGTCAGCAAGCCTGACCACCCGATCCCGCTAGTCGCCTCTTACGACATGTGTTGCCCGCATCTTTACGGGGCGGAAGGTTACAGATCCTACGGCTACTGCACAAAGGATATTTACGCAGCCTAGTTGTTTTATTCACGTTCAAGTTGATGCATTTCCTTATATACAATCAGATGTGTAGATACGCTAAAGACCCGTTCGATTCCCGACATGAGTACAATGTGTGAAGCCCATTCCTGGTGTCCCCTGCCGTGATATTGCTGGAATATTGCTAAAAGTGGCGTAAAACCATACTCACTGACCTACAACAATGTGGTGCTAGAGGTAAGAAAGCTGAACAAATGAAGGATACACTGTCACATTAACAAGGAATGTACATTTAAAGCTTCTAGGATATGTTTTGGACACGTAATTTAATCTTTAATCTCAGAATAGAGCGTTTACAAAAGAGTATTTTTGTTTTAAAAAGCAGGTATGGAAAATATTACTGTTTCAAATCATAATACACAGGGCATTTAAACACAAAATGATATTCTTCAGTGACATTATTATGAGAAAGTGGAACGTTTCTCAAATTTCGAACAATGCTACCTGTATTATCTCTATTTCACCTTTTCTTGAAATGTTAATATGCGCCTTAGATCCTTTTGATGCACCTCTACTAAGTATGGTCCAATGGCCTTTACAGATGTCACAGTGTATGTACATATGTCTCATTCATCATAGCATTGAGTTTTTCATAGTCACCTCTTTCATAACATAATACGTTTCTCTTGTAGGCTAACCTGGTATTTACATGAGCATCAACGGTGATATATGTACCTTTGTGATCACTTATACTTTTACATAAATCTACAACACCACGGTCTAAAACATCAACATCGTCGGGGATGGGATCAAGCAGTGTGCTCGTTGTTTTTGTTGACCTCGTTTGCTCTTTAATGACATTTTGCAGATTTTTCCTGGCTCTTGGATCATGTAGATACGTGTTATTATTCGACAGAAGGTTTGCATTAAGATCGCCAACAACGGTAACTTCACTACCCGAGATATCTAATGCAGTCTCAATGCTACTATCAAGCCGACTCCAGTATTCTAAACCCTTTTTTTATTTAAATTAAATTAAATTTAAAGTAAACACAGGTATCACACAATATATTTACACGAACAGAGAATGACAAGACGACCAGAATTTGTGAAACATATCGACTCTATTGGACATTTCAGCTGCACATTTTAGTAATACTATAATAATCCCGGACTTTGCATATTAATGTTTGGAATGTTGGCAATCGTTTCTGTTTATGGTCAAATGTAGTCTTTTTGAAAATAAAGATGATTATGTTTAGTGGCTCACTGTTTCTCTCTGGAAAACCAATGAGTATCCTTTCCTGATTAAAATGAATTTTTATTTGAGCTTTTCCTTTTTGCCAACCTTCCAGTTTGGTCCACAGTGGTCGTACACGATCACATTCTCCGAAATAAGAGTATTCTAAACCTTGGTATTGTTGTCTATAGATGACTCATGGCATTAGCTCCTTTTGTGGGATAAATAATTTAACCCTGATAGATTCATCGCAGTTGTTTTCAAGCTGCCGTAATCCCGAACAACCGAGAACATGATTGATATACATTTGTGTACATTGTACATGAAGCATTTCTGTCTTTCCGTATAGGATCATGAAAGTTCTCCCATGTGAGCGTATTAGTATCAACATCGGAATCTAGATGGGTTTCTGTTAGGCAAATAATGTCATATTCAGATAAATATTCAGACAGGTATTTCAGTTTGTTGCGTAAATTTCTCATTTTGAGATGGAAGATTTTAAGCGATCTGTGATAGCCTGACAGTCAACAGTGAGTTGTTGAGAATATCTTGCCCACCATGACCTTAAGGTGGGATCTCATTCTGTAACAGAAATAGAAAGGATTAACATTTCATGTCTTGTTTACTGTTGAAAACAACTTGAAACTTTTCCCCTCACACTCCATTTGTAGTGAAGTGTGGAATAAATTAATTGTTGAGAATATCTCAGCATTATCTTAAGGTGGGATCTCATTCTCTGTCACACAAACAGGAAGGATTAATTTTTCACGTCTTGATTGCCCTTTGAGTGCAATGTGATTCTTTGGGCATAATAGACTTTATTATGTAATAGACTTTTGTAAATAGTATTGTATCTACATTAAATACAGTGACATGGAGTCATCAGCCGGTCACTGGTCACTGCTGGCGTTTAGATATTCAACAGAGTAGAATTAGTGCCTTGACACATTTTCCAGGAAATGGGATTTTGTAATACTGGAATAAACTGATCTAAATATGTTCATGTTTAGTGTTTCTATTCACTGTGTTCGTCTAGCAGTCAATACATGGACTTACTATGTATGGGACTGTCAGAACCGCAGCCTCGGAGGGTGAAAACAGATTTGGAAAGGTTCTTAGAGAAAATGACTGGTTTTCTGCTACAGTCAGTGGACACGGGCCTTATTACTTGGAGTCCCTGGTGATTCCTTGGTAGTCTTGTTCCCTTTCAACTGACAGTAGTGTTCGGGAGAGTTCACTCAAACGCATCTCGTTCAGTTAGTGTTTATGGAATTTAAAAACATTCATGGAAACGCATAGACACTGACTGCACGAGATTTGCCTGCGAGTGAACTAGCCACGCGCCCAGATTTCATATGTTAGAATTTGAATTCAATTTCGGTTTTCAACTTCGCTGACACAAGACGTACATTTAGAGTTAGGTTGGAAAGTCAGTCAGTTGTTAGATATTCATAAATTAGATTAGATAATCAGTGGGGTTTAGTAAGTAAAGAAAGTTAGAGGTTAGTTTAGTTTAGTATTAGTCGGGTTTTGAACATTAATAGAGTTAGAATTTAGATATTAGGAGTTAGTGAAATTAGTTAAATTCTTAGCAATTCTTCAACGCAAAAGTTTACACATTCAGTTAGTTCTTCACACATTCGTCTTTACCCATAAGTGTTATCATATTTAGTTGTTCAGTTCCTCATTAGAAATAATTATCAGATTTAGTTCCTCAGTTTTACATTGTAGACAATAAGTGTTATCACGTTTAGTTCATTAGATTAAATTAGCAAATTTACGTTTCCACAAAAAGCGTCAGAACAAGTAGTCGTAAAGGAAACACTGGATGGCGGGGTCAGACAAGGTGTAATATGATTCACGTTGGCAATCTATGAAATGTCTAGATATTACAGTCATGTTTTACATTCACTAGAAATAGATCGTGTACTTTTTATGAAGTTCCAAAATGCCTAAAATATAATAATAAATTCATTAGGATTATAAGACAAAAATATAAAGACGTACATTAACCTCGGGGTTTTTTTTCAGTCGTAACACAAAAAGTGGAGCATCGACTTTTCAAATCTCCTTATGGATCCTTATCTGTCTATGGTGTGAGGCGTGGATCTGAAAACTCCATGAGCAATATGATCTGACTACCAAATTCTGTAATGCTTGGGTTGGCTACCGATATAGATAATATCGATCCATAATCGATCGATTATCGATAAATATCAGCAGAAAGTCCTAAATGTGTATGTTGTGTGAGAAAATTAAAATTTGTTTCTGTCACAAAAGCTAATATACTATATTATTGATAACACATTTTTAATATCGATAATCATTAATGATATTTCCGATTATCGATCATTTTAGCCAGCCTGTAGTAATACTGATATAAAAAATAGACATTCTCCGTGTATGATGTTAGAGCTGTGTTCTGACCTCTTTCCATATGAACTGTCAAAAACCGTAACACGGTCGAGAAACATTCGTGCAGCAGTGGCGAAACTGATACGGCTAATCACTGGGAAGATTGTCACAAAGGCTGTTTCGGTCATTGTTTGATAAAAGACATCCACTGCGCATGCGTGTAACATGTGAGGCGAGCCAGCCAATCCACTCGGTGCTCACAGACTCGTTGTGTTTAGAAGTAACATATATTTGTTCATTTCTTTCGTGGTTGCTTTGGCTTTATTCGTTTGTTTCTTTCTTTCTTGTTTAACGCCAAACTCAGCAACATTCCAGCTACAAATCTGGACAGACAATCCAGTATTCAACATCAAAATCATCGCCCTCGCATTTGGGACACGATTACATGTGTCAGCCTGGCCATCGAGCCTGTTAGTCGCCCCTTCATGCTGAAGACCAATTCTAACTCCGATCTTCGATACTCAGTACTATCCCAGTTTTATGACAAGCACATTTTTTATTTGGAGCTATTAGTGGAGCCTGTGGCTCTGAGTGATCATTTCACAATTCATATTATTTTGTTGTTGTTTTTTGTTTCATAATGGGACATATGTTATTAAATTATAATAAAGGCCCAAGTCTTGTAAATTTTGTAGGACTGCATAATGACATTCTGGTCAAGGATTTTAGTTATTGGAGGTCACGTGAGATTTTAAGCTGAAGTAGTTGACCTAAATCATGTTTTTGTTTCACTTTGCAATAGTTCATGATAACACATGTTTATATAGGAGCTGAATCTGAATGAATCACTGACATACACTAATAATAATTACATACTACATTTAGGTGTATTCTGTTGAAGCAAACAACACTGACCATGAAAACCATGTTATACTATTACCATTATCATTATGTTCGCCAAACTTTGTTGCAATACTTCAGTTA